GAGTTAAGGGAAATAATAGCAACTTACAAGAATCCACGTCTTCAAGTCGGTAAAGGCGAGTTTCGCGCCATGAAGGAGCGATTGTTGTTCGGAATCAACCCAGTCGTCTTCGCCGATATCTTCCTCGAGACGCCATGTAGCGAGCTGCTTTTCCTCTTCTGAAAGCCATGAAGTGGTACGGGGGAAGTTGGGCAGGATCCACATGGCAATGAACGCGACCACTATAGTAATAGCTCCCTCAATGATGAAGAGCCACCGCCTGGAAAAGTCAGCAAGACTGCACGACTACGGTCGGTCCGTTCAAAAGAAAAAGAAACCCATACCAGGCTCGAAGACCCTTCACATGGTCCATACCGTTGGTGATACCAGCAGCGATGAGACCAGAGAAAGCGCCGGAGATCAGAGAACCAGAGTAGAGGGCGGCAGTGCGGAAACCCAGCTCCTTACGAGTGTACCAGGCACTCAGAAAGTAAAGGCAACCAGGCTAGAACAACGGTCAGCAGGTTGATCACGGTCAGGGTACCATTGTTGTCAGAGACGTACGAAATAAGCAGCCTCAACGAAACCAAGGAAGAAGCGAGTAACAACCAGTCCAGCAAAGTTCTGAGCAGCCGCTGTGGCCGTTGAAATGATACCCCAAAGAATCATCGCACAGGGGAGGTAGATAGCTGGCTTTCCGAACTTGTTCAACATCAAGTTGGATGGAACTACTACGGTCAGTTTATGGTACATGTTCAGTATATTGACGACACTTACTCTGCATCAGCAAATAACCAACAAACAGAATACTGACAGCAGTCTGGTATTGGTTGCTGTTTTTCTTCATTCCCAGATCATCTTCAAGACCAGCAAGCCGAGCAGCTGCCTGGAAGGCGTCAGCCTTTTTCGCGCGAGTAAACCCAGAAAAGTGACTTACAATGTTGTTCCGATCCAGATAGTTGAGAATGTACATGATAACGAGCATAGGAAGAAGACGAATATCAATCTTGCGAACGAGAGCCCTTTCGGCCTTCCGGCGCTCCTCGGGACTCAGGCCAGCGACATACGCAGGAGCCTCTTTCCTCGGGTTGGGTCTGTCGGCGTTGGCCACGACGACTTCTACATTGTCGACGTAGCTCTTATCGATCCCGTCCTCGGGATCGATGGAGTTTCTGGGAGACATTTTCCGGCTCAAATATGGGTAAGGAAGCAGAACTGAAGGAAGACGAGGGTATCACAACAGGGAAGAGAAGAAAAGACAATATTTCAGAAGAGGGGGAAGAGCAGCGGTGATAACAGCAGGGAAAAGGGAATCAAAAATCAGGATCCCTGCTCCCTTTTGTGGGAGAACCTGGGGCACTACGCGTGGAGCAAACAAGTTTCCCGATTTTCAACTCCCAATCCCGGGATGACCAGCCATACGGAGTCTGGGTAAATGGGGTCCCCGGAAGGCCAACACGGTTGAGTCGGGGATTCTACCAATGGGGAAGTCAGAGGCGTGGAGAAGCAGAGGCTGCAGAGCTGGGGAGAAACCGAATAGTAGTAGTTGTGGATTGCAAATCAAAACCGAGGAACAGAGCCGTGGGATGAAGAGAAACGCCGGTACTTAGCATTTAGCTCAACCGGACGAGACTGCAGTAGCTGGTCAACACCATAGAATTTACCTTCCTGCGGGGAAGAGGAATGGAGATATGTGGAGTTACAGGGGCTGGAGATGAAGTATTGGACCATTTGAACATACTTGGAGACAGTTAGCGTCGTGCAATCAGAGCATGACTGGATAATTGAGATTCTTTCTCGTCAAAATGATTCCACTCCGCGTGGGGGTTGCCGCGTGGGAGACTCGTGGGGGTCATCGGCTTAGCGGGCAAGAGGACCGAGAAAACGTCTCATCTGCGTGAGGAACGAGGCAGAAAAGGGGGAAGAATAGAGGGATAATTTCATCATTCCAGTATGTAGAATAGCTTATATTTACTGGAACGCAGATGATGAATTGATGGGATGAAGGCAAAGCAAAGGTAAGTGAGGGTGTGGTGGGATGGAGCATTAGGTAAGCGTAAATCGGCTGATCCGACCAAATCCAACACCGCACGGGCCGAAAGACAGGGATCATTTCCCCCTGGGCCACACAGTTCATTCTCTTCGTTGACAGGTGACACCACACAGAATCCATCCGGGAAACGCATCAACTGTTCTCACCTTCTAGCGGTTTAATAACACTCCGTCGCTCGTCGTTCTAGCTTTAAAAAGGATGATTCCGGTTAGTTTTCGGGAGCTCGGGATTCAGCCAAGCCTTCTCTGTTCCATCCCGTAGCCAAGGAACCTGCCCAGACAAGTAAACTATCACTGCTCTGATACGACGCAGAGCTCGTTTGCCGTTCCTTTGAAGGCACCCATTACTTGGAAAGAGATTGTCACTTCCGTGCGCCTCTGCTCAAACTCTTCATTCAAACGCCCGACAAGGAAAATCTTAGTGTTTTTATACATCGCGGGACATCTGCGGACACCTGCTGTTACTTTACAGTATAGACACTGAGAGAACAAATTGAGCATGGAAAGTCCATGCAACTGGAATTCAAGCTGTTGCTACGGCTAGAGATTGAACCACGATCTATTGGGCTCGTATGCTCGAGGCAAAGCAACCTCCGTGCCAACTGCTAGGTCCCAATGCTTCGTGATCAGGTCGCCGAATGGGCTATAACGGAGCACTTTTACCCTTGTTGTCCATCAAATGAACACTAACCAGAAGGCTTGATCCTCGTGGTACTGAATCATCTGCGGCGGTTCCAGTAAGAGCTGCCAACGACTAACATTTTCTCTCTCAGAGAAGACGAGCATAAGATGGGCAGTGCCAATGTACGTGCTTTCCCCTGGGACCTCATACCATGAACCTAAAGCTAATATTCTTTCTGGAGATAGGCTGAACAGCAATGAACGCCTGTCACAAGTCTCGAGCCATAAGGCAACGTCAGCTCAAACCAATAATATGATGCGGAGACACTTGCCTTCGGGATGCCGATATACTATGTCCAAGATCATGTCATGGTCAACAATATAGAACAGACCTCAGCGCCAAGTTTTCCTGAGTTATTTGTCACGAATGATTCTTATCCTGAAGTGCACCCGCATGACCGTCCTAGCGACTATGCTCATTCTACAGGATTGAAATTTAACCTGAGACCTGAAGCCAGATAGGTAGACCGACAGATATGAAAAGACCACGCTCAAATCAGCAGGGGCCAAATTCCAAAAATTCTATTCTTGCCGCAGGGTGATACTCCTTCCGATATTCAGCTTTCTAATCCAACTCACATATGCCATTAGTAGTGCATCCGACGACAGTGCATTGCAGAGCCCAGTAGCGCTGATCACCGTCACGTCACTCTAGAGTCGACTGATTACCGGACGCTCAACCGCAGGTAAGCGTATACTGTCAAAGATTCAAGACGATTGGTAGCACGCACTAGCACGCAAACAATTGATCGCCAAAGAAAACAATACAAGGCAGAGAACGCCAACCCATACAAGAGAATCGGATCACAGCATTTGGGCAAATACGCCCATCTAGACAAGGATCGAGTTGTTTATATCTGCCTTAATTTTAGATAGCTATGTAGATAGCGCAATCTACGAGACTGACCAGAGTGTCAATGGTCTGACTAGCAATGATAGATGAAGCTATAGAAAGCTGTGATTGGTGGCTCGGGGACTTGTTTGTCCTGAGAGCTGCGTGAGCCAACCACTAGAGAAGAGTTTCAGGAATTACCAGAATGTGGTTCTCGGCCTCGCAAGGTATACTACGCATCGATCGTGGTCGACTGCTAGGAGTGATATGTCGCGTAGGCTTGGGAATTTTGCCCGCCGCCTAGCACAGCAGTGATGGGAAGTACGTTGAGCACGTAGCAGGCTCAAATAGCTTGTTGAACGACAAATTACTCGTTATTGCCCTCTGGAGCATCGCTCAAATGAATCATATTGAGATCTTGGCACTATCGCTTCGCATGGCGATTAAGGTCCTCTCTTCTTCCGTGTACTCGAAAGGCGGAAAGATTAGAGAAAAGAACACAAGGACATCATGATGCAAAAAGGAAAAGAACAGTCAAACACCCACAAGATTGTAAGAAGAGGGAAAAAAGACGAGAACTTTGCATACCCATACCATCCAACCAGAGTTATTACCGACAAACATCTTATGCTGCTAAGAAATAAGAGAAGGAGAGTGGGAAGCGTGGGAGCGACACGCAAGTGAATGAGATACACACAGGACCAAATGCAAAAGTACAGGAACAGAGAATGAAGGGAAGGCTCCCTTCGGACATTCAATTGGAAAGACATGAAAGGATAACAGCTCCAGGATGCTGTACAACAGACATACCATGAGGGGGGGGAAGGTTTATGCTCAGAGCGAGACTGAAAAAAGTGGTATTAATCAAAGAGATGATGCTGTCCAACTTTCACGCTTTCAAGAAATAAGAAGTCGAAAAGGCAGAACGAGTTCGATGCGAGGTCGACCGTAGAGAGACGGAAGTAGACAGGAATAGTACGCGCAAAGAGTTTTGAGTGGAAAGCAGATCTAGCATAGTAGATCATGGACCAGGATCTAGAGCTGTAAATCGGATCAATCTCAGATGATCGAGGAAAGTTTGATGCATGAGTGTGGCTGTAAATGTCTAACACTCGATACTCTCTTTGGTCCAATGCAAGAATCTCCGTGCGTCTGAGAAAAGCCGAGCCAGAGAAAAACCGATGAAGTACCTGGAATGTTGCTGTCGCCATAACACCACATACGCAAAACAGGAAGATACGCGAGACGATGAAACAATCGAAGACGGAATAGTGCAAGTGCGGCAGGTTTTGCGAACGCTCGACCATCATGCATCGGTCTAATGAAGAATAAAACGCGTGCAGTGCTTGAGGTTAAAATGCTAGAGTTGGAAAAAGCCACACCACTCGTAGATCTAGTTATGGTGGCTGATGTGCAAGATGAGACATGCCGGGCAATGCCGTCGCTAGTGGGAGCCTCAGAGGAAATGAGTGTAAATCTTCGAAGTCTCGTGGACTTCCATTTCCTATGATTGGACGTTAGAATGCAGGTCGGCACAACCACTGCTTGAATGGACATGTGTCTGCCAGGACTCACCATCTTGAAATTGTTGAGTTCTTCCTTGATCTGTTGAGCGAGAAGTGGTGTCAAGCGGTTGCAGGTTGCAATGTCTCCTCGGCGATCGTACTCTCCACTGGGCCACGTCTCATGGAACTGAATGCGAGGACTGAAGACAAGGGTCTTTGTTGTCACCGGTTGCGGCGTAGCAGGCGAGCTTCGAGACTCGGGAATTCGCCCATCCGATAAGAAGTAGTCTTCGCCAGCTATCTTGACGGCCTCGGAACGTCGGTTACCAGCTCGAGACGGATCCTCAGGTGTACTGGGAGCACTGGAATGCGGCGAGTCACTGCCGATCAGTGTCTGTGAACCCTCAGTGACTCTGTTGGAACGACCTGTAACTGCGGGGTCCGAATTGGTCTCTGGAACACAAGATCGTCAACGAACTGAAACAACACACGTATGATTGCGGCACCGCGGCTCTACTCACTCTTAAGGATGCCCTTCCTGACCGCCGCCAGAACCTCTGCCCGTTCCCTGTCACCACCCACAATGCTCTTACGCGATTGAGATCTCTCGGTCCCGATATCTTCCTGAGCCGAAGGACCCTGGGGGCTATTTTCCATCTTAGGAAACACAGTGCCTCCGCGAGGTAGATCCTGAGGATCTGCGTTGGCAGTCACGCTCTTCCTCTCCGCTTCGACGTTGACCACTGACAATTTTGGTGCCATTGGCTCCACATTTCCACCATCGTTCGACGCGATGCTCACGATGGATTTGGGACGGAACAACCCGACGAGTGACCGAGTGGACCTCTTCATGCCCTTGCCCATCTTCCGTAGCATTATCGAAGCTGATGACGCTGTGGATGACACTGACAGATTATCTGTGGAGTTATTGAAGAACCGGCCTTGATGATGCGAGTAAATGCTCTCACCCAACCCACTGGCCTCTTGCTGTTCAGCGATCGCGGCCTGCTCAGGTCCTAACTCTTCTTTCAGTAGTTCTCTTCGGGACTTCTCTGCAGCGATAGCCTCTCTTTTCGCAGGGCTATTCTGGGAAGACGCCTTGAGGAGCTCTGAAGCGCTTCCGAAAGAGAAGGCTCTTCTCAACCGAGACTTCCCGGGCCGTTTGAGCTCGTTCTTAGTGATATCAGCCAGTCGTTGCGTGGCAACACTCTCAGTCGGAGCAGGCGACTGTTTCTCATTTGGTGGCTGAGAGCTGGTAGGCGTGGGTTCTGCAGAGACTGGTTGCGACAACGGCGAGGGCTTTGTTGATCGCTTGGTGTCGTCCAACTTGTTCGTGCTCTTATTTGAGGGTGCAGCCTCCGTCAATCCTACCTCACGTACCTAAGTGCATGTCAGCACAAGAAGAATTTCAGAGATGAGGGGAGTATATCTTACCGAGGACGTAGATGAGTTAGCTGAGTGATTGCTGCCCGAGACATCTCGATGAGACTGGGCGGATTGCGGTCGAATGTTGGGGTCGAAGTAATCGTGCACATTCAGGATCGGTGTCGGAGATGATGGCAGGTGAAGCTGTAGATTAATCAAGCCAGCATTATCAATATTCCCCCAACTCCGACGCCTATATCTCTTGGCAAGCTCTGCTTGTGGCTTTTCGGGACGCGCTGTATCATCCACACTGGAAACTCGAGCGTGCCCCGGTTTGCGGGACGGATCCTGCAAGGCATTCTTCGACGCAATTTGATCCTCTCCTGGCAGGCTAGAAGCTGTTACTGTCGACTGGGCTCCCGGTGCGTTATCTAATCGTCTGCTTCCACGCCGATAACGGTCGGGAGATGGTCGAGCAACGGTGGGGGAGGATATATTCATGAATGATGAGGAAGGTGACGGCAGGTTGGCGGTCGATAAAGGGCGAAGAGGAGGGTCGCTGCGTGATTGTCTCGAAGGAATCGCGGAGTCGTCTTTGGAGCGGTAAGATTGGACGGAAGAGTTGGAGGACGAAGTAGATACAGAACCAGCTGCAGGATGATGGGAGAAACGCGGGTTGGGTCCAACGGCATGAGGATGGACTGCGGACCCCTGGGGTACCGAGGGAGCAGAGGAAGTTCGATTCTCTGGCCTCAGATGGGGCGTCCACGACTGACGATTCTGCATAGCGTTGAAGTTGGAATTGGGTAGGCTAGGCGTGCCAGTGAAAGCATAGGGGGCCACAACCTGGTGGCCCGCCCGATAGCCCTGAGATCCGCCCACCGTATTGTACGAGTTCCAAGACATCGTGGAATTGCGAGAATTTTGCTGCTGCGAAGGCTGAGGAGACGGGGCAAAGGAGCCAGAAGAAGATGAAGGGCGAGTCTGAAGCACAGAAACCGTGCTACTTTGTTGAGGAATCGTTTGCACCAACGCAGCCATGATGCTCTCCTCCACCGTTTCTCAGAAGCCTGTCGTTTTTGGCGACAACCCTAGGACACGAGTCGATGGACGTTAAATTCGCAGTAATACACGGCGAAAGACACGATTGTGATGTCAAAGACGACTCGAGGGCGTTCAGAGGGGAGGCAGGGAGGACAACAACAAAATGATTCTGCAACACGTGTATCAGTTTTCTGCTGCAGCACGATCAGGATGAGTTCAACAGCGGCCTGATGAAAGCAATGGGTTGCCAAAGTTTCACTCTCCTGTTCACCCACAGAATCGATCTGGGTTGCAGTACCTCTCTGAATTGAAATCAAAATGGATTATACTGATACAAAAATTTGAAAGAAATAACGCTTATGCTGGATGTAGAAACGAAAGGCTCGGACGAGACGAGAAACGGAAAGGGAAAATCTGGCGACGCGGTGAGACGCAAGGAACACAAGGCTCCAGGGAGGTGGACGTGATCTAAAGCAGTCGAGCCATGTACGATGGAGACAGGGTGGAACAATCGAAGCGAGGCCGAAAACAAAACAACTGAAGGTTTGAGGGAAGGCTGATAAGAGGGGGTCGGGAGAAAGGAGGATCCCTGGAACGGGGCACCGTATCTCCTGAATCGAACAGAAGATTGGGCCTAATCTCTGCTAGGAGAAGACGACAGAGGACCTAGTCAGGGACAAGAAAACAAGAAGAGGGAGATCAAAGGAGCGAGAGGAGGAAGGGAAGAACGAGGAGAGGATTGGGAGTGAGGAAGGAAAGGAACAGAAAGGAAGTTAAAGGAGATAATAATAATAATGGGGCGGGAGGAGAGAGGAGAGTGAGGATTTGCGGATGGGACGTGCCACTATTACTAGCTTAGGGGGAGCACTCACTTTCCACTACTACTGACAGGCGGAGACAAGACGGATGGGATTTTTCAGACAAATGCGACAGAGGGAACACTTTTCTCTAGCAACTAGTATCACGATGTTGAGAGAATTTCCATGAGGAAGAGGATTTCGATTATCGAGGACAGTAAATAGGAATGGAAATTGCTTTTCAAGCAAAAAAGAAAATATCAACGATAGGGATAATGACCGTTCATAGCAAAGGCCCATCATATTCTCGCATGATTGTTATCGTTGCTGCAAGTCATGCCAGAACGAGAACAACCACAGAATACTACTGTAAGTTCAAGATGGCGTACTCTGTATGTACGATGACTAACAAGGCTATTTTACTATCATTAGGACACAATTTTAGTATACTGTCATTTAGAAATGCAGGTTAATTCTCCTGAATCTCCTCTGCATCAGCCAACCGTGTTCTTTCCGCTGGAACACTTTTGCTAAAAAAGGGGAAAGAAAGGTAAGACAGCTTACCTGTAGGTAGGTTGGAGCCTTGTAATCAATGTACCGAAATTGTTGTATATGATCACTTGATACTTCTTTCAGGACTTCGGAAAAAGCCTGGAAACTACTAGATTCACAGGTAGCTGCGGTACTACTGACCCGTACTGTACCTTACCTGACCGGCCAGTACTGACCAGTAACCAATCAACACCTTACCTTGCCTAAGTATTCAGAGCGGGCCAGCTTAGCCCCTGCGACGCCAACCGCTTCACCCGTGGAATGGGTGGATATGAAAACGAACGATTGCGACACATGAACATTATTAAGACATTGTTTAACTTGGAGATCATTCCTCAAATTTGGTTGATGACTTAATTTGAGATCTCCAAGTATACTTATCTGCGTCATTGCATATGACCACTTTCACAAGTCGAAGAGCCAGGTCCTCTTTCTAACCACTGTGCTCCATCTGCTGCATACAGACCCCTTTTCCATCTTTTCATCCTTCGTACTCTGTACCAATGCGGCAAAAGGAAACAACGAGCTAGTTGCATAGGGCCACCACTTATTATGAATGTCCTAGCAGCCCGCTAGTCTCCTTGCGAATCCGATCGTGCTAGCAAGTTGAACGCCGATTCGCAACCACACAGTCGCTAAAACTCTTAGCTGTAACGCTATTACTGTACCAAACCTACGTGAGTCAGCCAGACAACAGAATCTCGGTGATAGAGCCTGGAGATAGTTGCAGAGGTAGGCAGTTGCTATACAAAGCAGAATGACTGGGTGAGATTTTGTGAGCAGCCTCAGTGGAAGGATGCCGAGTCGGTGTGGCAGGATCGAGTACTCCGTAAGGTACTCACTCCGTATCTGATCTTTAATACGCCTGTGACTCCTTTGTTAGGCTTCCCCAGATTTTGAGCCAGCCCATGCCATCTCATCAAATTATCAACAATGTCTGTCTTGCCTTCCGGTATAGGCAGTTTATCACGATTTCTGAAATTCAACACTCATGAGCTGCGACCGACACTGATGCAAACTTTCGCCATGGTACTCCCAGACCCGAACAGTTTCAATGTCTCGCATCCGGGGCATTTCCGCGTACAGTATCCATGGATTCGGATGTCCCACCAAACCTAATGGTTACCCACATTTACATAGGTTTGCTACGCTATTCCTCCCAAGGACTCAATAGCCGACCAGGCTGAGCCAGGGGCTCACAGAAAATGCATCTGTAAGTTTGAAGCAAAGTTGATTTCCTACCATGGTCCATGACAATGACAAAGAGCTAATCACAGTATTGGCAGGGAGTAGTTACCAGATAATGTGCTCAATGATGTCAGTCATCTTGATACAGACTGGAAGGGCACCCCAGGTCTATGTACATATTTTTCCAAGCCTCTACAAAGGCGGTACGCTGCTGTTGATTCGCAAATTAACTGATAGTTGACGAAGCTTGAAAAGTTTGGAACCGAGATGAACATGGATCAATCGCATGCCTCTCGAGTCTGAGGAAGGCTATCGATGAGGCTGAGGGGCTGAGAGCTGACAACTAGCAAAAGCATACTCCCCACTGCTTGAGCTCGTATCACTGCATGTGTGATGCAGACCAGATCTGATTTCTGACATGTTGGGCTGGTACCGTCCTTTCAGCAATCAGATTCAGATCCATCCAGTTTCAGATCTGCCGTTCATTCCTGATCCTCAGGGCCCGTCTCGTACGGGGTACCAAAACATCTTATCAGCTGTGCTGGATGGGCAAGTCACCGCGAATAACATTAAAATGAGGAATGTTGAAACTCACCTACATCCATATGCAGATAGCGCCCATCGCTAACACCGCATGTCTTGACTTGCTCCACACTGAACCGGGGAACTGGCAATAATGGCCTTGTGCTTGCTTAGATAATTACATAAACATGTTACCCGTAACCCATGTGCTCTCCTGCCAGTGTACTCTGGCCTCTGGGGAAGAAACTTATTGTCTCAATACAACGGAACAATAGATAATCTAGTAGGTAGTATTGCTAGTATTGCCAACATGATTCGAATCTTCAAACTCATCAATTTTTTGCCGGATCGTGGACCCATGCTCCATAATATCTGAGACATGTGATAAGAATAAACTGATGAAAACTTTTAAACTATGCTTGAATGGACCAAGTTTCAGACCAAAAGCGCACTTACCCCTGTCTCATAAGTAGATTGCCACTGGACAAACTAGTCCCTGTTACAGAGTACTAATGCTCATAGCACAAGCATAGACCAGAAGAATAAAATTCTGGCTGCTATCACCAAGGCTGTCTGATTATGATCAACCAGCATACATCACCCCGATAATCCTTATCTCCAGACCAAGCTACCCACCGCTAACTTGATATTGCGCTGAAAGACCCACGCAATCTCCCTCCACATAGAGCATAGTTACAAATATGGCCGCAGATCCACGTAAGGAGCTCCGCGCGATCGACGGGCGGTTCACGCATTTTTATTCGTGCTTTGCGAGTAAGTTTCCCGTGCGGCGGTGATCATGACAGTCAACCTGTTTCAGAGTTGAGCGGTGTCAATCATTTCAATAATCCATATTAATTATCCACATATGGCGTGCTGTGCTTGATGTATCATGATTTGGTTCCAACCACTTGGTTGTAGACAGTTAAGTTCTCGAAGATTGTAGAGTAGGTCTTTAACTCCACATCATGATTCACCTTGGTTTTTTGAAAAGCTTAAACTCAGTGTCGCCGTCATTGTTCTGATCTATCACATGTTGTAGCCTTGTACTCCGTAGGAGCATTGACACATAATGCAATATCGAGATCATCATTACTAGTTCCTCCATGTTTGTGGGGTAAGTTCAGGTCCAACGGTCAATCATGTGCAGGAGTACAGCTCATGCGTACAATGCCATGGTCAATTCAATTCCCTCATGGGCTCTATGACGTTAAATATCCCAGTTCTGTTTGCAACTGTCTATGCCATTGCAAACTTACTTGGTATTAGACAGTAAATCAGCAGCACGCCCGGTATGATATCTGAGATCATTCTTGATGAACACACAAATACTCAATTGCTCTTAGTTGGAGAGAGAAGTCTGCCCTGGACTGTCAGACTCACAAAATCATGGATGTAGCTCGTGATATATTTCGGCGGCGAAGGTATGCAAATATATATTGGCATGGTTCATAGCTGAACCTCAATCACCTTTTCCATCGCTATGCCAACTGATGGCTATCCGAATCATCAGAGATTTTCCAATTATTGCGCGAATAATAACCAAACTAACAACCAGTGCGATCGTGGACACGAAAACGACAAGAGGTCATTTCTCGTGCCAAGTGGATGTAAATTGCCCGATGCGGCTATGGCCGTCCAACGCCAGGCCGAAGTCAAAACTACGTTAGTCTGGTATCTAGTTACATACCTTAGTTACTAGAAAGAAAATAAAACCACAGAAAGCGGTAGAAATAACGCATTATGAGGAGATAGATCGATATTATGATAATTATACATGTATGGTAGTTATGTGATGCTATGCTTACACCTGGCTTCTGGATCAGGTTGACAAGCAAGAAAACGACGTATCTATGTTCCTTACATCATTCACAGATCGATCCAGGAACGTCAGACACATGATAGGGCCGAGGTCAGTGGCAATTGTCATTAAGGTAG